AATGAAATAGAAGAAAAGATGGAGAGTGCCACAGAAAAGAGGAATGCATAAAAAGAATCAAAAATTCTAGAACTAAAAATTAAAATAACCAAAATTAAGAATTTAATATGTTCCTTTAATAGCACACCAAACATAGCAAAAGAGAGTGTAAATGGAAGATAGGCAAGTAGAAAATATCCAGATTAAGCACACAGAGAGAAAAAAATAGGAAATGCAGAGAAAAGCATAAGACACATGGGACTGATGAAAACACCTAACATCTGTGTAATTTTGGTCCCAGAAAAAGATGAAAAAATGAAATAAAAGCAATTTTTAAACAGATAATGTCTGAGAGTTTTCCAAAGCAGACATTAAATCACATATTCAGGAAGTTATATGAACCTCAAGCATGAACAATTCATGAAAAACTGCACCTAGGAACATCATTAGGAAACAGTTGGGGGGAAAAAAAGAGAAAAAATTTTATAACAGCCAAAGGGAAAAATTTATTACCTTCAAAGGGTAATAATAAGAATTGCAGATAACTTTTCAAACAAAACTGTGAAAGTCAAAATATAATGGGATGGCACCTTTATACCTCTGAAAGAAAACACCTAAAATTTAAAGAAAAATACCTAAAAATTAAAGAAAATATCTAAAATTTATACCCAGTGAAAACAACTTTCAAGCACAAAGGCAGAGCAAAGATGTTTTCAGATGGGTCAGTCTGGGTTTGATTGGGAAAAGGCAGGCCCCGCAAGTATTTTTGTAGTAAAGGATGTTAACATGGGCATCAGGGCTCACATGAGCATGGGAGGAGCTGGATGGGGCATGGAGGTCTGGAAGGCTACAGCTGTAGGAACAGAGTCACCAGCTGCCTTAGCCAGAACTACTGCAGTGGGCAGGATAGCAAACAAACATCGAAGGCAAAACAAACAACACAAGCAAACAGAACGCCCCAGGACTTGACTTAATATCAAGATTATACAGCTGCATTAATTAAGATGGTGTGGTACTGACACAAGAGAAAACAAATGGGAGGGAGAGCAGTAAACCGAGAGTCTAGAAACAGACCTGCTTTTACATAGGCAATTTTAAAGCTCTCAGCTTTTTCATGGGCTGTGTAACACATGAATCCTTGAGGTGGGGAGACAGACGCCTGTGGCTCCACATGGCCCTGTGGTTTCATGAAGGCTGTACCTGGCTGGGGGTTTAGTCCCAACATTGAAAGCCTAGCCTACTTATCTGCATCCCAGGGATAAAATGAGCTTATCTGGGACTATGGCATTGCAAAGATGGTTCAATCCCACAGAGAGAATACCACAAGAGCTTTGAAAATATAAATTTAGGTAGCTATTGACTTACCTCAAACATTGTTGCATTCTTCTAGGTGATTAAAAGATTGGTTTGAAGTGTAAATACAGCTAGAATGTACACTTGAGGAGAATTTTACCTAATTTACAGATGATTGAAGGAGAAAGCTTAGGAAGGGAGAGGAGGAGCAACACAGTGAACGATCACTGACATCGATGCTTTGCTAGAGAAAACCACAGGGCTCTCCCTCACATGGGCCTCTGCAATTTCAACCCTGACCCCTGGGTCAGCAGCTCCCCTTAGTGCCACAGTGCCATAGCTAATGTCCCTGTAGCAAGAATGGTCCTGCCCTACAGATGTCCCCTTTGGTGTCCAGGCAAAGTCCCTGAACCTTCTCTGTCAACATCTTTGGGTTTTAAGGATGTGCTACCTAGATGGTTTCACTGGGAAGTAGTTACGTGACCAGCATCCAGTTGGGGGGAACTTTGACATTACCTAGAGCTGACCTCTGCTCTGCAGGAGTAAAGCACAGCTTTGATGGTTGGAAAAGCCGAAAAGGATGAGGCAGGAGGGAACAAATGCCACTTGAGCACCTGCTGTATACCAGGTACTAATGCTTCACACTTGTGACCTCATTGAATTTTCACAATTCTGTAAATCAGGTTTTAGGCTTTCCGTTTTGCAGAAGAAACTGAGACATGGAGGTGTCGTGCAATGTGTCCAAGGTTGTCCAGTGAGTGGAAGGGTGTGAGAAGTCACTGGCGTCCAAGAAGCTTCCCTCAACTGTCCTCCCTGGGAGAGGGAAGGGAGGAGGCCAAAGAGAGGGTGTGCTCTCCGCACAGCTTGGAAAAGCGTGGGCCTCCCTGCTAGGCCTCTCACAACACTCCATGCACCTGTACACCACGTCCTCAACAGGCTGTTCCTTCCCTACCTTTGAGTCTTTGCCTCAAATTTCCACCGCACAATATAACGTCCCCCTCACAGAATTAGGGCAGTAAAGGTTTTGTTGCTTGTCCTATGCCAGTTCCTGTACCAGGAAACAAATCAACAGATGAGTGGCATGTCCCTGCCTTCATAAAGTGCTTCATAAATCACCAAATTTCCACCCATGCTTCTGGGTCTTTCCCTAGAAAGTCTTGCACTCATGCCCCTGCTTGCTCGTGTGGTTTCTTGCCTCTCTTACCTCCTCGGACCCTGGGAGTCAGGTTCTCAATTTCCCCACCTGTGAGATGCAGATGTAGCCGTACCTGCTTCTCATGATTGCTGGGAATAGTGAGTGGGCTGATGTCTGTCAACTGCTTACAATGGTGTCTACCACACAATGAGCCTTGGGCATGTCTCAACAGTGCATTCCCTATGCAGCACTGGATGCAGAAGATGGAGGCGTTGAAGGATTGTTCCACGCTTTTGTGAGACTTAAGGAATACCTTTCAACCACTGACAACCCCACCTTTTCAGAAGAGAAGATGGGGCGGTATCTTCTGGTTGTTTTGTCTCTTGGCATCAGTAAGGATGAAGGCAGTGATTACAGCTGGAACCCAGCTTCGGCACCCAGCACTGCAACTTACCACCGTCAGAGGGTCCAGCTGCCCCTCTGGGTGCACCACAGAGACCTTCCCAGGCACATTCTTGACCACGAGGAACACGTCCCTGCTGCCATCATGTTGTGTATATTTTACCTACTTGTTTTGTTTACTGTCTGCTCCCCACACTGCAATGTCAGGCCCGTGATGGCAGGGCTATGTCTCTTTTGTCCACTGCTGCACTCCCAGTGCCTGGCACCCAGGAGGTGTGTCATAAATCCGTGCTGAGGTAGTGAATGCACGTGCTGTAATAACCCTGCCTGCAGCGTGGTCGCATGGACCACTTGGTGCGTCCTTCCTGGCTGGTCCCTTACTCTGGCCTCACCCCACCCAGTCTCATCCATGCCCATCTGTCAGAGGTTCCCCATTCCCACTTTGTCCCCATCCACATCTGCTCACAGGCCTACAGCTACTCCTCACTGTCTGAGGACCAAGTACACACCCCTCACCCTGGCATCCAGAGCCTCCAACTTTTCACCTCTGAATATCTCCCCAGTACACCTTCCACCATGACCCTCTTTGAGCTTTTGATTGCTGCAAAGCTGGTTTTCTCCTATTTCATCAGAATGCACATTTTCTTTTCTTTCTCCAGTGGCCTTTGTCCATGTCCATCTTTCTCCTGCCCTCCCCCAAACTGTCCTACGCTTTCCCCCTTTATTGAAAGCCTACCTGGTTTTCAAGACCAAAGTCCCACCTCCTTGGGGTGGGGATGGGGATGAGGTTTCTCCCATTGTGGCACTTTTGGGGATGGCTCCTTCCTAGACATGCACCTCCTACAGACGCCTCTAAGTCATAGCAAGGACTTCACTGTGGTGATGGGTATTGTTGCACATGTGGCACATACACACAGTTAAGCTGGCGTCCCTTTCTGTTTCCCCACTAGCTTCAGATGCCTCCTGGAGGGGCACATCCGGGGGGGG